TTAGTGCATTTCAGTTCGATGCCGCAGTTGGTAATTAAACTTGTGCACTTGTCGATGTAAATATGTAAAATAAAATTCTTTTTTGTCATTTTCCTTTACTACAAAGTGCCATATAGGTATGATATACAGGGTACTCAACGATAAGCTGAGCATTATGCGAATGGATAACTGTAATTCAACGTATCTATCGAGGCGAGTCAGCGGAATTTTGGTGTTTAAGGACAACCTCTTTTCCTTATACTTGCAATTGGTACAATTAAAACATGGCGGACTTCGATATAGCACGCAACGCAACAATAGTGAGGTTTATTTTTTTGGAAAAACTTAAAAAAATAACGTTGAGGTCACCGAGTCGAATGGTGCGCCAATGTATAAATATAAAAATTAATTCGTTCTACGAGAATTATTTAACACATGTTTGATAAAGGGACTTTATCCAAGTAAAATTTAATTGATTTAGATATGCGATGGCACATGTTACGTGTAAATTTGTAATACGCGTTTTTTCGGTAGTCGGCCAGTGTTTCAAAGTCTTGTTTTGTCAATTTAATTTAAAAAAAGTGATACAGTAATAGTTTTCCGGTTGATGTCCATGTAAGTGTTCACGCGTTTATAGAAAAGGAGGTGCTTCTTCAATTTTAAAGTTTGTATCTGACCTCCCACAATGTGAATCATCATATCTGTTGATTTAAAAAAAGAAGAAAGTTTGTGTACACGGTTATGCCTTTATTTAAAGCAACTCTGTGAAAAGTGTTTTATTTTCAGCATTTATCGCGTCTCGTCTGTACAAGTTTCAGACCCCAAAAATTTGAATTCTTACAACAAAGTAGTGAGTGCTTTTGATACTTTTTTTTTATATTTAACTGTTTGTAACGGATTAAAATGTGTCAATAAGGCGCTATTGTCCTTCACATTATTTGTTTGATTTGTAGAATTGTTTAAGTTATTTTTGTATGTCATTGTGTTACTATAATACGTGTGTCATAGTGAAGACTTATTTTGTATGCAATCTCAGAAAATTATGTGTCGATTTGAATTCCAGTAAAAAATAAAAAAAAAATAAATCCTGATAAAGTTTGTTTTGGTGCTAAATAAAAATTTCTCTTGTTTCAGGTTAACCGATGGTCATATCCACTATAAGTCAAAGTGTAATAGTGTTCTTTGATTTGGATTGCGGATTTCCGGAACTTCCAGATTTCGGTATTGAGACTTATTAAAAACTAAATTTGTCGTTATGGGAGAGGCGCTGGGTTACACAACGAAGTTAGAACACGAAGTTGTTCTAGAGACCAACACGATTCCTTTGAAACAACGATATTACCTTCTTTCCTTTAAACAACAAATTTTAGTTAAGGAATTGAATAAAATGTTGTAAATGAACGTAATAAAACCATCTACAAGTGAGTGGTCGTCGCCTATCATATTGGTGCCAAAATTCGATAGCTCAGAGTATAGATTTTGTGTTGATTTTAGAGCATTAAATAAGGTTACAAAAAAAAGATGCTTATCCTATCACCCACATATCCGCAATTTCAGATATACTGCGCGGGGCAAAATATCCGATAATATTAAATCGGCCTAATGGCAAATACATGCCGAGAATGCACGGCTTTCACAATACCAGGCCGAGGGCGAAAAGTACTGTGGAGCTGAGAGGTAGTAGAAAAAAAGAAATGAATTTGAAAGGAATGTGACACAAATTAAACAGCTTGAGAATATTGAGAGCGGCTAACGAGAAGATTGAGGTAAACGTGAACGGAATTTGAGAAGAATTTGAAAAAAATTTGAAAATAACTTGACAACTTGAGGGGAACTTAATGTGAATAATACATCAAGAGGGAATTGAAGAACTTGACGAGAAACTGAAGAAGAACTTGACTACGCTTAAACTTAAGAGGAACGCGAGTGAAAATTGAGAGGTAAAATGAGAGAATGTTAGGGAGAGTGGGATGGAAACCTCAGGGTATTTGGCGGGAAAAGGCGGGAGTCATTGAAATCATCATAGTTTGAGTAGGAACGTTAAGGGAATTTGAGAACTTAGGTAGTTGAGCGGAACTTGAAGGGGGCAAGAAGAAATTGAGAATAACGCGAAACGGAATTAAGAAGAGCTTGAAAGGCACTTAAGAAAGACTGTAGAGACGTGTACAGAATTTTAGAATTAACGCACTGGGAAAAATTTGTGGGGATCTTGAAAGCAACTTGAGGAGATGTTGAGGGAAACTTCAAAAAAGTTTAAGGACTGGAGAAAATTCAGGGAAGCTTGGTGGGAATTACATCAAGGGAATTTAAAAACTTGAGGAGAACTTGAGGAAAATGTGAGGGGAAAATTTGTGAAAAATTTAAGGGAGTTTCTCTAGATCAATTTACAATAACATTATGGCAGACATAAAAGGTCTCTAGGTATTCATAATAGCACAGAAAGCGTACCTAAAACGACCCATCTTTAATAACTTTGGAATGGGGCATGATATCCTTATGGGGTTGTCATTAAATATTTGACGGAGCCGGACATTAGGGCGTCGCCGATAGGGCGCGACCGAAAGGCGAGACATAAGGGCGCGTGGACAAAAGGGCGCGAGGATAAAAGGGCGCGGGACATAAGGGCGCGAGGACATATGGGCGCGGGATACAGTATTCTCTAAAAAATATATTGTAGTTTGTTTGTGTTGATATGTTATTACACAGGGCGTTCAAGATACCAAAAACATATAATGCGTAACGCCAAAAGTAACCAACAGTTTCCAACTTTCGTTTTTTGCCAAAAATAGTCGAAATGAATTCTAATATTGCCAAACTGCGAAATGGATAAATCCGGTTGTATCTCAAATTTATTTTTCATCGCGATTACATTACATTTCCTTACCCTTGGTAAATGGAAAAGTGAAGTGTTACATCTTCATTTTCTTTAATTAAAGGTTACTAAATTAATTTGCTGACTTTTGTAGCATCGTCGAGAATCACAAGTTTGCCTTTGGTACCGGTACCAAATTCCGACATACCTTTCGCCCGCAAATTGCGTTTAAAATTTTGGCTCTACCACCGAACAGATAGATATATGGTTCTATTCTGGTTGGACATAAAAATCGAGCGAGCGAGCGATTGGGAGAAAGCATAACATTCCCGTTACTATGTAGACCCTAAAAACATGGAAATAGAAGTAAAAGTGATATAAAAAGTGTGACCCAACTTTTGACATTGCGTATTATGTTTTTGGTATCTCGAATGCCCCGTATAATGACTGTTGATAGAAAATATTAACACAAACTAACGACAATATAAATTTTATTAGAGAATATTCTGTCCCGCGTCCATACACCCTCGCGCCCTTATGTCCCGCGCCCATTTGTCTCGCGCCCTTTTGTCCTCGCGCCCTAACGGCCGCGCCCTTATGGCCGCGCCCTTTCGGCGGCGCCCTAATGTCCTAGACCGATATTTGAGCATCGAAGCGGGCACATTTGACGGTGATTTTCATTGGTTTACCTCTGATTTGATCGTAAAACTTTTACCCTTTTTTGGAGGTATAGACGAAGAAGGCAAGTAGTATCTAATATAGTGCCGATTCTAACTCACAAGTTACCAGAAAAAACTACTAGATGTGAAAAGACCCCAGATAAATAACTAGGTTCAAAACTCTGCTAGCGCGCATAGAGCCGATTGTAAATTAAAAAGTCACTAGATTTGAAAGTTACTAGAAAAGTAGCTAGGTTTGAAACCCTGCTGCGTGGATTCACATCTTTGCTAGTACGGTTCTGTTTGTCTAGTAGCGTTCTTGATAATGTAGGGCCAATTCTAAGTATAAACTAAACTCCTACGCAGTTTCAAACCTAGTTACTTTTCTAGTTACTTTCAAATCTAGCGACTCTTGATTTATAATCGGCCTTATGCGCGCTAGCAGTTTTTGCATTGAAATAAAAGAGAATTTGAAACAGCCTAGTTACTTTTGTAGCGACTTTTTACATCTAGTAGCTTTTACTAGTGAGTTTTTGAGGTAGAATCGGCCCTATATTGCTACACAAAATGTAAGTAAAAAATGATGGATCCAAGCTATCGAAAAAGTCACGTTCACCCGTTAGTTCGTGAAATTGCCAACCCAACCACCTTTTAAATGGCCTTATCAGGTGTAGTGCAACAGGGCAGGGAGGGGGGAGGTGTCAACTACTCTTCATGGTATTGTCTCAACGTAAGGAGTTAATTTCTACCAACCTACTAGTTTCCCTCCTCAACCTCTTATCGTGATCGGATACAATTGCTTATATCTCGAGAACAGATTGTCGGAAAGGGTACTCACAAAAGATAGAACGATCGTCTAGACGAGACATGTCTACTGGGGATGTAAAAACTTAATCGTGAAAATGTTGGAAGAGGGGAAAAACTATATTTCGGAGAATTTCTCTAAGGGCTTGATTCTTCTTGCACTAGGTATATAGCGTAGATGTTGAATATATGCCAGGCGGCCTTTAAATGTTTATGTGTAAAGAGCCCCGTCCCCATTAATCATCTAACAAGAAAGAAAGCATCGATAAATATAGGATGCAGTACCTTATTAACTCAACCATTCACTAAGATATTTCGGTTTAAAAAATGCGCTTTATCTGCACTATTTATGTAAAATAAAATACATTTAATACGTTAAAGAAACACCGGTTCTACGTTAAATTGTTTATTGATTAGTACAAAATGCTAAAACTGTCAAACTTGATCTACGCTTACTAAAATCGTTACAAAATACGGCATTCCCTTATAATGTTTTTTAACATCTTCCCCCGGCACAGAAAGTTCAATTTCACATGCTCGAACTCAACCATCTGGTCCTTAAAAGCAGTTTGTAATTCGTCGAAATCCACTAGCTTTTTTCCCAACATTGCCTTTAAAGCATTTTTCACAGTACGCACGAGATGCTCCCAGAAACCGTTCCACCATACAACTCTCTCTATGTTGAACTTCCAGTCAATTCGATGGGACACGGCTAAATTTTGAATTGTATCATCTCTAATGTTATTCTAAAGCTGCATTATCCCCGTTACGTCTAAAGAACGCGATAACGTTACACGATCTTTCGGTAAAGGTGCAAAAAGTTGATCAGCAGGATTTCCCTTCAAACGCTTACACTTTAAACACTTATTAATAAATGTCTTAATAGATTGTCTGACTTTTACTATCCAGTATCTCTTCCGTATTGCTGATGATAACGTTGCTTTCTGATCCAAACAATGTATAAGCTCCAGCAGTTTAGTTTGAGTAGCTATAGGTGTCTGGTTATTTAAGTTAAATACTTCTTTACTAAATTCCTGTTGTTGAACAACTTTAACCCAATAAACTTCTGCTTTATTTACATCGTCTACGGTGAATCTCCCTGAAATCTTAACTTTCTTTCTATTTAGATTATTTAAATATCTTCTCACGTATTCCGTTATTCTGATAATATTTTCTACATCGCTATATCTATCCGAATCAAATAATAAATTCAATTTTGACGCTGGTTCTTTAACTTCTTCATAGTCTGCTTGACAGGTAAGTATGCTACTATCTTCAACCTGTAAACTTCGATTTTCTGTCCACACTTCCTTGTCTAAAGTAAGCCCAGTCGGACCAATAAGCCAAACCTCTGAATTAATGAAAACATTTGCAGAATTCACTCCTCTTGCAATCAGATCGGCAGGATTTTCCTCACCAAGACAATGCCTCAATGTCGCGTTATTCTTCAACTTGTCTATCTCTAAAACACGGTTTTTTACGTAAGGTTCACATTTCTTATTTACTCCTTTAATCCAATAATCAGAACAGAGAGTCACATCTTTTACCGGTAAGTTAATTTTATGTAGTAAATAATTGCATAATCGCGCAGCACAAAAAGCTACAGTGAGTTCCAACTTCGGTAAAGTGAACATTTTTTTAATATTCTTATTTAAAGGAGCTCCTCTATGTTTAGAAGCAATAAAACTACATTTTCCGCTAACTAAATTATCAATATAAGCCACACATCCACTTTCAGTAAACTCATTTCTTTCAATATTACTGTACGCTGATATCCCCAACGTTTCTAAATCCCATAATTTCTTTGAATCGGTAGCATTATCTGGCGATAAATCGTTAAAAGATGTGTATGATTGCGCGTGAAGCACCACGGTTTCAGTGAAATTTACTAAGTATGCTTCATCGTTAAGCTCGCTAACACCATGTAGTGTCCACCCAAACTGCGTATTAATGGCCTTCAAACTCTCTGTTAAATTAACAGTACTATTTGATACAATTTTCCAATAGTTATTTGAGCCAATCAATAAAGAAAATCCACTAATTACAGGTTGATCGGTTTTAACCAAGTCTGCTAAATTATTCTTTAAACTAAAATCCCTTATAACAGGATTCATTAACGAGGGTGGTTTCAAATTATCAAAGCATATTTGCGGTACTTCTATGGCGCACAATTCAACAACCGTGTCGTTAAACTGACTTTTTAGCTTTACTTTTACTCTATTGCAAAGTCTTGCAGGAACTCGAGCGCTTTGTCCGAAACCTTGAATCGAAATTCTATGGGTACCTATTTTAGGCAGCCCTAATTTGTGCGAAACTTCTTCTCGAATAAAGGACAATTGACTTCCGCCATCAATAACCATTCGTATGAGTGTCTCTTGACTGTTTGTTAAAACAAACGCACAAGCAGTTTTTAAATAAATATTGTCAACAATACCACCCGCTATTAGTGCTACAGATCCATTGTTAGGTTTATTCGAAGGGTTATTCGAAAGATCCTTTTTCTCGTTAAAATCGGAAAATTTATGACTTTCACACATGGTGGTCACGTGACGTCGCTTACATTTATTGCTCGAAATGTTTCTAGTTTTACAAAACTTAGAGTTATGATTAGGTTTAAGACATCTAAAACAAAGTTTGTTACTTTTAAGTATGTCTTTTTTCGCGTTAATACTAATCGAACTATCACAAGAAGCCGTTAAATGTGATTTTGATTTACAAAAAAGGCACATTTCATTTACACCGGTAAACAAACCCGCAGCAGTGTACTCGCTCCCGTACCCGCTAGTACTTTTTTCGTTACGCACAAACCTATTCGGTTTTTTAAAGTCTTTTGTGTCATGATTACTAGATGTACCACTCGCTTGTTCGATAGAGTCTAACTCGACCTTAATAAAATGTAAAAGCTCCTTAATTTCTGTATCAAAATCTCCAGTTTTGGCGACGCTTTCTGTGGAAACCATACTTCCCAACGCTACTGACTCGTTATCTGCATGTTCACGACCAGAATCTGCTCGCAACCTTTGTTTTTTATACGTGACACGCATAGAATACGGTAGGGCTTTAAATACGATTGACTTAACCAATAAACCGTACTGATCTGCCGAAATGCCTAACGTAGATAACGATTTTATAATTGTTGTCACGGTATTAAACAAAGTTCTTAAAGCGAAAGTATCTTTGTCATGTTTTAACTGCGGCATAGACCACAATTTTTGTACATAAGTATCTATAATCTTTTCGGTACATGCATATTCGGATTTCAATAATTCTAAAGCATTGTCGTATGTATTTTTACCCGACGCTAAACCTGATATAGTAATCAACGCTTTACCCGTTAAATAAGATTTTAAATATGCAAATTTAGCGATATTGTCCAACGTATTATTTTGGTGAATCGCGACGTTAAACTGTTCCCAAAATTCCGGCCATAAAGAGACGTCACCACTAAATTTTGCAATTTCTATTCTCGGTAGTCTTACCGTTCTCTGGTAGTTACTTTTTTGATTATTACCCACATTACTGGATCGCTTAGGATGGGTTGAATCACTCCCTGATGCGGCATCGTCCAACTCCTGATGCAACTCTTCACGCAAATGCACGTCTGACTGTATTCGACGTCGCAGCTGTGCAATAGCCTTGGTTGCAGCATCCTCATACTCGACGATTTTCTTACACTCATCCTCAAATTGTTCCTCTTTGAAGGAAGGCGCTAATTTATTGTTTAAATCCTTCAAAGACGCTTTCAAACCTTCAATACGTTCGCGAAGTACGGCAATATCATCTACACTCACGCTTTCATCTTGTAAAACTTCGTCCACTGTATTTACTAGTCTCGTTAGCTGGCTACGGTAAGATTTTCGTAATGTTAGATCCATAGTCTAAGTTTAAGCACTCCGTTAGTTTCTTACAGAATTCGGCAAACTAAACAACAAACACTATCTCCCGGGTTTCGGCACCAAAAATGTAAAATAAAATACATTTAATACGTTAAAGAAACACCGGTTCTACGTTAAATTGTTTATTGATTAGTACAAAATGCTAAAACTGTCAAACTTGATCTACGCTTACTAAAATCGTTACAAAATACGGCATTCCCTTATAATGTTTTTTAACAATTTATACTTCTATTTTTATGATTAACATTTTGTTAAAACGTATCCTATTCCTCCTTTCCTTTCCTTTCAATGTGGACATTCTCAAAGGTACCTACACAGTTCTCCACCACTGCAATTTACAGAAAACCAAACCGGACAGTAGTGGCATATCTTTGTGATATATGCTGCAACTTGCTTTTAATGGTTTCCGGGTTGAATCATAACTCTGTACTAAAACTTCTCGTAGGCAACGGTGTTAATGGGAGATATCTAAGGTGCAACAGAAAACAGATCTAGGACTAGGACGACATTTTTTCAAAATGAAATGGTGGTGGAAATTGAGTTAATTTGGTTCTGTGGCCGTAAGCTTTTATCCCGAACAGTATATTTTACGACCACATAACCTGCAAATAAAAGGGCTAGTTTAATTGGGAGTTAGAGAGTTAATTAGTAATGCAAACCAAGAGCGATAAAAAGAGATAAAAAGTAAAAATTCAATTGGATCGTTTCTGCCATTAAAAATTGATAACTTCATTTACATAAGAAAACTGCAAAGGGACCGTGATATATCGAACTCAAAGCATAAACGCAGATTTCTCCGCTTGCATGAAGCCGGTGCGAGTGGAAGAAGGGCGACGCCTCCACAGCTGAACCATAAGAGGGGGGAGGGGGGAGGGTGAGAATGCTATCGTCTGAATAAACAGAAACAGTTTTCACTCGCCGGCCTTTCCTTTTTCTATTCGCGTCGCTATGATTAAAGTCCGCGGGTGAGTAGATAGAAGTGTACTAAACTGGGAATGTGTTGCCTTCCAAAACTGAAGACTGGAGATCGATAATTATACCGCAGACACGATACTTCGACACAAAACCACAGCTTTCGTGCCATTAGCATTCTGAAAGACAACCTAGAAGGGTCCGGTGATAAACTTAATATTAGATAGACTTTGCATGTTCCTCTCTAATCGATTACCAAAACTTTGTTAATCAATCGCATATCCTTATTTTGCCAAGAAAAAAAAGGTCAAGAGGTCTAGAAGGTTCATAAGGATCAATAATTCATTTACACCATTTACATAATCCAGGCACCTCTGAAATTAGTTATCCAAATGTGGATCTTGGCTAGACTGCAAATTTCCACATGGCTACAAGTTGGGTAATTAAAGCTGTTACAAACGTAATTTGCTAAACGAGAAATGCAGACACAGAGAAAAAGGGTGGTAAAACATTCCAATATCCGCGCTGAAAGCTGCTTTGTTATTCACAATTTCATCATGTAATACGGTAGCGCGTTCGTAAAACATGACACGACTTAGAGATTTGGGTGGAGAAGCTTCAGCAGCATACGCAAAGAGTTATGGATGGAACAATAACCCCAAAGGGTTACCAACAAATTTGCTTGACCAAAATACTATTTCGGAAAAGAGTTAAAATAGTCTCTGGCGCCAATATATTATTAACTATAATCAATGGCAATAACATCGTAAACTTTTAGTATAAAAATAACCGGAATACGTTCACCTTCGGGCTGGAAACTAAATCATAAAAATGAAGAGGGAAAGTAAATTCGTGCCCTACGGTGACAAATTGTAAATATTGGCAAAGCCGTAGCGAAGAGCTTCGTTTTTTATTTAATTTTACATAGATCTTCCTCTATTATAATTAAAAAACATACCCCGTTTCACGCACTTGCGGTTTTAACCCCCATTGCAGTAGTAAACAAAGCTAATTTACTAGGCTTCTACATATATCGACCAAAATGTGCAAGACAGATTATCTACTGTCTAAATTACGTAAATTTTTTAAAAAAGAATAAAAACTCACCCCACCAAAACTTGTTTAATCGATGTATATAAGTAGAATTCGTTTCAACGCTAACCACCGTTTAGAGTAACACGGTAGCCAACTTAATGTGACAAAATAGAACCGAAAACTTGAAATACCTAATGGCCGATTGCGCATATTCGTCCATATAAAACAAGCTCAAAATTTGGACTTCGCGACATTTCGCATTGTAACGTATCCGCCGATCCTTTAAGGTTCTAACGCTGTTTCATAATGCTAGGACCTTTACGGTGGCGCCCTCAGGCGCTGCCTCAACAAAATCCCCCTTTATATTGATTTTCCCGCCCTTGTTTTGTCTTTCTCTCGCAAATCGGCTCTAAATTATTATCCTCCCTTCGTTAAGGTCTTATTTTTTTACATAAATAACACGTGTGTTGTGTGTATGTGTACGGGCGCCAGGTTTTCCACACCAATTACGCACGGTTCGGCAATCATAAAAGGAATCGTAAAGGATGCCGTTCGCTCTTGACATTCACATTTTCTCTAATTAAATTATCCTGGGCTTACTTTAGGAAAGGGATAATTGGTTAGTTCTGAAGAACGGCGCTTATTAATAGACGTTAGATTTCACTTGTGATCTAAATTTAGGTTAACATCATAAAAATCGTTAATTTTAATTAACATTTAAGCCAGATTAAAATCATTTGCATGTATACACAAACTTTTCTTGCAAATTTAATTAAGTCGGTGGTTTTTCTTGTAATCCATCATTTAGAATTGCAAACATCTTTAATGACAATATATCATTAAAAAAGTACCAGTACCTACATGTTTCAGGCCAAAAAGGTCTGCAGCTTTTAACTCTGACAAATAATATCGTGCTTTAAGGAAATTAACAATCAAAACCTTAAATAATAATAATAAGTATTTCTATCGTGTTATTTCACCCTTGTTAAATCTTTTACATTAATAACTGTGTACGCTTTTAGACTAAAAGGTATTACAATTTTGGAACCTTAAGAGTACTAAAGTTCTACTCAATTGCACATTAATTTAAAACCCAGTTGGGATTACAACTTAACAAGTTGGTTAAACCAAAGAGTATTATAACAATATACTCTTTGGTTAAACTCATCGGCCGGCTGAAACGAAGTACTAGCTTTGTATAAACCTAACATGAATCTTTTACCTAATTTAATGCACAAGGAACAAGGAATCGGAAATTGTGACTTGTAATGAAAAAAACCCAAGCAATAAATGATGTAGCTATTGTTTATTCACTTACTATTCTGCATTAGGTGCATTACCCTCCATGAAAAATACTATGTTACCCCCTTTTGGTACAAACATTTTTAAAAAGAAATTCCCTAAAAACTAGTTCTGCTATGCCGTGGCTATTCCATACATAATGGACACCCTGTATAATTAATGTAATACTGCAATCTTTAACTGTACGAAAGAATACGTAATACGTAATAAAATGGAGAGTTTTAAAATTGCGAAAAAACGAAAAATATTCATCATACCCAGAATACTAATGCATTAAATGAAAGCGTAAGTTTCAAATAGAGAAACGGGAAATATTATTAAAACAAATGTTCGTTATACGAGGTATATACAACAATAATGTAATGTAAAATAGTGACCCTTGCTCCGATCACCCCCCAGGCACCAATTTTCTCCTACGGCCCTCTGTATGCCGATTCGTGTGCCGCGTGCCTTCTACTCTTGGGTGGGAAACCCTTCTTAAGGAGCCACATTGATCGTCCTTACGAGAAAGTAAACTAAATTTATTAGCCATATGGGCAGTCGAATTGATTGTTTAAAAAGACATAGATTTTGGAAATGCATTAGATTTTACGCACAAATGCCGGAGACATTTTGGTGATGAACTTTTTGTATGGGTCTTGTATTTAACTAATTACTTTAAATAGTCTTTATTTGGACCAGATGCTGCTAATTCAGGTGTAACCTAATCAGACCATGTACACATTTACCATACTGTAACTGCATACTCGATTTTATTCCTTAGAATCTGGAAATGAAATTGAAATTAATATACATAGATGGACGAATAAAAGAGTGGTGTCCGATAATAACCGATAATAATGTGGCAACTCTAATTCGGTACTCAGGCATTCCGAATCCGCAGTTCAGAAATAGTATATTAGTAAATTCACAAATAAAATATAATTGTAGTTATTTACCCGTCAAACTTACTGCGATTAAAGACTTTTAATTCAGATTAATAAATTTAATTAATGACTCACTGCTGCAAAATGTGAATTGGAACCTCTGTATGTGCTAATACTTTTAATTTTAATTTTTAATTTTATTGTCCCTCTCTTGTTATGGGCCTTCAACAGGCTTTCACCCAATTACAGAGAGCATAATGCATTTTAGAGGTGCCTCTACACTATACAGAGTGACAACTTGTCTGGAACGCTGAAAATATCTTCAAAACAACAAGTTTTTTATGGTATCCAAAATTATAAAAAGTTTGCTATCTTAATCTACGTACTTTAAACTTGTAGTCAGTGGCGTGTACTTCTGCATGATCAAGGAGGGCATAGCAACTGATAATTTTTATTACATTTTTTTAAAGTACACACTTTTAATTTGCTAGATCCAAAGAGTGTAGGTACTCTCCAATAATATCATTGTATATACATCTTATATACAATGATAATATGTAATGAAAACTAGCACTGCCATAAAAAAATATATGCTCCCTCGATTTTTTATAATTTTGGATACCTACCATAAAAACTTCTTAAAAAATGTTTGTTTGAAAGATATACTTCGTGTTTCCGATACAATTTCTACCCTGCGTAATAAGGAATAAGTATACTTATAAGTTATAACTTATTCCTTATAACTTATTAATTACGGATAATAGGCATGAAGGAAAGCAGCATTTATTTGTAGGACGTTAATTCCATTTAAAGAGCTTTGGGCTTTTTGATACGATCCTTGTATAGTAACACCAGCGAACCAGT